TTTCCGTGGTGTTATCCCCATTATGTGCAGTTTTTTATTATAATTTTTTACTAAAAAAGCAGATTCTTAAGTTTGCCATAGATGTGCCGATATTTGCATAATGATAGAGTTGACGAAGAAACATTAAAAAAAGGTATTTTTTTGCCGGAACTATGACCTAAATACTTGCCTGAATTAGCTGATAAAGTTTCTCAGGTAACTCAGAATTCAGTGTATAAGGTTGCTTGTGGCTGAGTCAAAGGATATTGATTACTTAGAAACAATGTACTAGTTACTATAGATTCAAAGGTAGGTATCTTATCTTGATCTTCATCATAAATATGAAAAAAAAATCTTGTAACTAAACGCTGCCTTGTTCTTAGTGCCTCAAGAAGCTTAAGCAACACTCTACCTGTCGCATAAGAGCGTCTCATTAGCACCCTTTCATGTTAAATCTTAATCTTCCTTTAACCTGAGAAAATGTAAAAATGCGTTTTAAGCGAAAAAAGCTCTACCAGCTCTACGTAATCCTAAATTATTATTACCAATAACGGAAATTGGAAATTACGGATTATTGTTTGTTGATCGATCATGCACAAATATATGAAAATTATTACAGTTTTGGCAAATCAATACAATATGATGATACTGTTTTTCCAGATTTCTAATGAGGGGAATTCTAATGGAAATCTTCAACCAATAGACACTTAAAATACACATTACATAATTATATAAATAAAACAATTTAATATTATATTTTCACACGATATGATTAAAAAAAGGTATTGATTCAATTTTCACCATCGTTAGTTTCCCAATAATTTTTACCGAAGGATTATTTATTTATTTATACTTTATTGCAAAAATGAGTGTACAAGTGGCGGACTAACCATTAGGCATTCTCTACCAGTCAACCGGAGAATTAAAAATATAAATAATAATGATACAAAAAAATATATATATAAATATTAATATATTAATAATATAATTATTAATGCAAGTCTCAGAACAAAAACTATAGCTGTAAATTGTACCGAAGCGAGAGTGGCTCAGATTACAAAATTAAAGGCAGGTGGAGCTCACGGTAACTAGATTGCGCGACACCAAAGCAAATATCAAGTCAAAAGCGAATATCAACTCGCGTCCGTACACTACAACTCGGCGTGTTGTGAATACGTCCCGAGAATATTAAGTTTTTATCAAAACTGTTCCTTTTTAAGAAAATTTTACTAGAAAAAATTCCACACGGACCAAGTAACAGACAGGCCTCGAACCCGCACCCTCCGCAATCCAGCACTGACCATGATGATTTGTCTTTGATGACCGTGTCGAATTTTCGTAAAAATATAAGTAAGTGGTTTACACTTGCGTTTACCTTAATGTCAATGATACTTCACGAATGGCACATCTATAGTATTATGTTAGCCCTCGGGCACTTTGCGCACTAGATGGCCACGCCCAAATTTACTGAAGAAACCACAATTACGAATATCGTCAACTACCCGCACACTGGGCCGGCACGAATAGTCGTTGCGGCCAACTTACGTATACTTTGCAATGAGCGCTCGCGCACTAGATCTGCCACCGCGAATGCGGCCAGGCCGCTACCAGCCATTCTCAGTGTCATGCGGTCAGTTCGCGAGTGAAAACGCTTCGTATCATTCCGCAACTCAAAACGACGTCGTTTTTTTTACTGCTATGACTTTTATACAGAGTTAATCATTAATTAATTAAAAAAACGTCCAGCAATATGGCCGCTTTACAGCAAGTCGTGGTCGCAGCCGCAGCCCAGCCATAGCTTCTATGGCCAAGGTTGCGGCCACGGCCACGATTGGCTATGGTCGCGGCCGTCTAGCACGCCAGCCCCTCTAGCATGATCACCAAAACGGGATATGATAAAGCGATATATCGACATTAACTGTCAGACTACTGTCAAACTCCATAGTAGTCTGACAGTTAATGTCGATATATCGCTTTATCATATCCCTTTTCGGTGGTCATGCTAGAGGGGCAGGTGCGTCAGATTAATAGAGTCCTATTATTTACTCAAAGGGGCCAGAAAGGTTCTCGAATGACAACCGCGCACAGTACGCCACTGTGTGGGTGTGGCACGTCTTGTCTGCGACCGGGAAAGTTAAGCAACTTTCGCAATAACTGATCGTATGATGGGTGAACAAAATATTTTTATCTCAAGCTCTTGCTTGCTTCGAAATGCACGTTAAGCCGTTGGTCTCGGCTGCAACTGCAGTCGTTAGTTAGCACCCACCAATCCGCAATGGACTCATGTGGTACCCACCACATGGCGCGTTTGCCCTATTCCGTCAATAAGGCCTGTGTCCCAGCAGCCAGCAGTACCAATAAGAATCGGCTGATGGTGATTATTCTATTAAATTCGTCAGTTCTTCAGCTCTATGTACTATGTCACATAAATAAATGTAGTTCTACGCCTTTGTCAGTTATAAAAAAACAGGCGTTATCTTTTAGTCATTAGTAACTGCAGTGCTATTCTATAATAACAAAATAAATAACAGTTAAAAAAAAGAACAAAAAATAAAACAGAGGAATGATTATAAAATTGTTCGTTTCCGAGCTAGAAATCGCAACAAACCGCTAAAAGAAATCGTAGTACGGGGTGTAGTATGCTTACTGTTTATAGCTGTTCCCACTATATTTATTACACGATTTTTAATTTTCTCAGGTAACTCATAGTTCACGGTTAATAATAATGAAATGAAAATCTGTAAAGAAACTGCACTAGAAAATTCTATTGATTAACTTTATTACTTAACAATTTAACTTATCAATTAGGTACATAAAAAGCACGAGTTTTTTACCACTTAGTAGGTAAGGTACTTATTTATTATCACATTGCGTTGTATAATTTTATTATTTTGCAAAAATACTTTAAATTTACAATAAATAAATGCCTGCACTGAATTGCAGATTTTTATGTTATTAATACAATAAGTAATATTTATTTCGAGTTTTTATTAAGTACATATTTGTGTCGATTCTGGCGTGATTCCTTGTCCATTGGAGATGTGGTCACGGGCACGAAGGAGTGGAGGCCCCTGATCCTGAGCCGGACCACTTACGATTTGCAGGGCTCTAAACTAGTCATTCTCTTACCAGAATGAAAAGGGAGTGATGTAACAAATATTTTTTGAGTTTAGAGAATCCTGCCAGTATCGACACCATTTTCATTCTAGTGTAAACACATTTTTTCTAATACAACATGTATTAGGAAAAATGTTGTACCTTAATATATTTAGAAAGCTGTTTAATGGCTATGTACCATACAACGATCATGGCCTTTAGAAAACGTTAACGTAACGTTACAATGTAGCTGTATTACCATATTATGGTAACACATCACATACTACCATCAAGAAAATCCTTTTGGTAATCACTGAATTCATAAAATAAGTGTTTTTCTATTTTTATGTTGTTTATAAAATGGCAAGTTCATAGCTAAAGCTGCAATATTAATAAGAATAGATATATTTATAATATAGATGGCTGGTTAAATTTCATGGAATTTGGTCAAATAATATAATATTTTAGTAAGTACCTGCTGACCTAAAACAAATTTCAAAGAGTTATCAATATTAAAAACTGTACGGTATTTTTAACTGGCATTAATATCTCACTTGGGGATCGACTGGACGTACTCGTCCACTAAAGTATCACAATAAACTCAAAAAATATATATATGATATTTCTTATAATTACGGATATCGAACTAAATTCCTTATCTTGAAATGAAAAAATAAAGTAACAAACGTAACAAGAGTGAGAAAGTTCTCTTCCCCTAAACTTATTTCGTTTGTAACTTATTTTTTTTGTATTTTGTTATATTTTAGGTAACTTGTTATATACACATATATAGATAGGTATTATGAACAATTTTTAGCAAAGTGCGAAACATTGACATTGACTATACTGACATAACCAGAGGGTACAACCTTAAGTGATTTGGTCCAACTGTCATGCAACCTTTACTTACTATAATCTTGATAGGACCTTGAATTCGACTCAAATATTTGTACTCAATTTATGATGGTAATTAGTTATCAATAATATAAGAAGGTATGTACCTTCTTATTCTCTATTATTGAATATCCGTAGTATAATTTATGCTTATTTGAATCTAAACCTAGTCTAAAGTATGAAGAATTTAACACTAAATATAAATTTACCATTAGAGTCAATCTCTTCAAAAGGAAAAAATCCTTGCTCGTACTCAATTTATTATGTACCTTTGTCTAAATAAGTTACATCAAAGAGTATAAAATTCCAAAGGTAGACCGAAATATTATCAAAAATATTAAAAAAATATTACTTTAAAATTGATAAATGGCACTATTAACTTAAGAAATAGCGTTTGACTTGCAAATCTTAATTAAAAATCATTATTATTAATTAAAAATAAGTATAAGTAACTGTTAAAATAAAATAAATCACTGCATTGAAATGCGTTACAAAACGATATTTACTAGTCCATAAATAAATTAATCTAATTGAAAAATACGGTAACATAACTAAATCACACTGTTTATCAAGAATGTTTTTACTCATTTCACGTTTTGTTTTATAATCTATTATTTATGTAATAAATTCTTATTTATCATGAATTGATTCATTGAAAAAATCAAATATATTTGAAACTGTTAACAAGCAGTTTGATAGTGAAGGACAAAGATGTACTAAATAAAAACCATTTCGTACAAGCTCTAAAAAGAACCAGGTTTAAATAAATCCATCTATTCATATCAAACAGTAGGTACGCTAATAAAAAATAATTATCTCAATTAATGCTTAATTTAAATTCATAACATAGGTAATCACACATTATTTTTAGCTATATCCTTGTAAATATTTACAAACACACATTTTAAGTAAATTACCGTAATAATACTTTTTTTACATTCTAAATGTTTCTTTTCAAGCCCCTGTTAATCATATTCTATCACAACTTTGGAATCAATAGATTCATAAAGTTAAATAGGACTCTAGGCGAATCACAGTTTCGATCCTTCCAATACTGCTTTTTCTTTCTTGTTCTTTTCCTTGTCCAAGTCGACAGTTTTGAGAGGGCCATGCTTCCAATCTGATGGGTAGCCATATTGCCTGACGTCATCCCACCATTGCTGTTTGCCGTCAGCCCAAATGATGTAAACAACGTTAGTACCAACCAGAACAGCAAAACACACCCAGAACGCTGTCCTCCACTGAACCAACGTAGACTGAAAAAAAAAAGAAATGGTAGGTAGTTTATTTTAAATAATTATATAAAATAGCGGATTTAGTATTTCGGCACCACAAAATATTACATATTAACGCACTCCATCAATTTTATGAATTTAGAAGAACACAGTCTATTCCAATCAAATATTCATATTCATAATCCCAATTAAACAATCTGTGCTGAAGTCACCAGTGTGTGACAACGTATTGGACAAAAATTAAGTGTCTTAATTGAAGAAATTTCACTAAATTTTAATATGAAGGATTGATAATTGAGTATCTCTTCATCATACATGAATTTTAATCAATAACCCGTCGATCACGATTTTTATTAATTAGACTAGCAAACCCGGCGAACTCCGTTTCGCCACCAGATGGCTTCTTTTTATGTAACATTTCGTTTGGTGATTAAAAGAAGTTTTTTTTTATAATTTTTCCTGAATTTTCTTTGCTATAAACCCCACGGAGCCCGAGACCTTTCCAACGAATGCAAAACCGTGGAAATCGGTTCTTGCGTTCTGGAGTTATAGCGTCAGGAAGGAAAACCCGACTTATTTTTATATAGTAGACTAAGGCCCGTATTATAAAAAGATTGATCTTAACTTGAGTACAGTTAGAAAGGGATATCGCTATGTGCTATATATAGCGACATCCCTTTCTAACTATGCTCAAGACTAGATCAACACTTAGTTGTCATTCTGTAATACGGGCCTAAGACATCCATTTCAGGTGGTGAGCAAATCATTATATCTGTTTCAGTTGACTACGAAATGCATAGAATAGCCATTACAGACGCGGCAGTGCTCAGTATATTTATTATAGATGGTGAGGTGGTGAGGTAGGGGCTAGGGTATATCCATCACAGTTGCGGCCGTCATCGGGATAGTTCTGTTGGGAACAAAATAGCCATTTCAGATGGTACCGTAGTGACTACGTGGGTCAGCATTTACAATTCAAAGTCTTATTATTTTGCTCTATCTACGCCTTGTCAATAGTCAAATGGTTATTTGATTTCTAATTCCAGTTCATTCATGGAAACCTACTAATATTCATCGATAATTTTGTTCAAACAGGTCAAATTGGTTAAGAAATGCGTAGTAATCTATCAATATCTAACTTCGCAAAGCCATGACAAATTTGTGTGAACAAGTATATTTTAAGCAGAACCTATGATAGTTGGCAATTATTGTATGGATATATTTTGATAACAGTTAAAATCATTGTCAGTCCTTCGGTACACGATCCAGAGTATCTGATATTTTTTACTAATGTCTTCCACAGTTTCGATGTTAGTCATAATTATTTTCAATTTGGTTTCCATAAACTTGTCTTGAACATTACTAGCTAATTCTGATTTCTTTAAAGTAAAACTTCTTTACGGAGTTAATTTTAGTTATTAGCTTTTCGAGAATCTAAAATAAATGAGAACAAAGTATGTAACATACCAATACAGATTCCACTGAAAACGTAAGGAAATATCCAATTTTCTCAAAGTCATTGAGAGCTAGTGAAATGGCTTTCCAATATTCAATTACGCAGAACTCCGCTGCATGATTTTAATACAAGAAATAAGGACAAACTTGCCGTTCCATGCTTCGGGCTTGCCTTTGGGTAGTACTATATACTAATAAAATTCCACAAGATTTGATTGGGCTTCCTCTAATTAAATATCAATCACATGCGAAGAAGATCTTAATGAGTTAAGGCTATTACTAAATGGAAGCGCCATGATCACGAAGTAACTCAGTCAGAGAGAGAATAGTTACTCCGTGATCATGGCGCTTGCAACAGTGCCGAAATGTCGGAAACTCGCTTAAACAAGGTACATGGTAACAAACCCGTAAATAACTTATATTACTATAAAGTTAGTGACCATGAAAGTTTAAAACAATATAATATTCCATATTATTGCATAATTTCATAAAATTCAATAATTTAAGAGCCCAATGTAACATACTTTAGTCACGTAAGAAATGCCTGCTTGGATCTCGTTATCAAAACTTGTGTTTTCCAAGTTAATCAAGAATATACAATGTACTTCAGTAACAAAGGTAAGCGCACGACGCGACGTGCTCTAAGAGACGAGTTTATGAAGACAACGTGGGCATGCATATTTAAGTCGCAAATCTGTTCTTCTCTCTTGCCGCCAAAGCCACAGAGGAATTACGCCGTTAGACTTCATAGAAATAAATACGAACTAAATAGCGAAGATAAGAACTTTGAAACCGACAAAGTTGAAGACAACTTGAACAGATGCTGATGGAGAGTTACGAGCCTTCACCAATGCGGGTATATTATTATAAAAGGTCGTAACTTCACGAGCACGCCAGAAATTTCGTGATGTTTAAAAATTATGTTGTCCGACTTGTTACGAAGTTTGAAGGCGCGCACAAAATATTGAAAACGAAAAGGGAACCATGAATCGACTTTTGTTAACTTTTTGGGACGCAAAGTTAAGATATTAGCGAAATAGGTATATTCTGCTGTAATAAAATCTAACAAAATGTAAAATTTTCTGAAGATATTCATAAATGCCACTTCATTCAGCGCGTTTTTCCATTAAATGTGGACATAGATAAAGAGAGTAAAATGGAAAGTTGGAAAAAAAATAAGAGGTATTTTGTACAATCATTAACCCCGACTTTTGCTCAGATGCTGCGCAAAATGATACCGCACCGTTTACCTATCGATACTCGATAATTTATACGAATATTAATTAAAAAGTGGTACTCACATCAGGTGTCAATAGTCCTATTAAATAAGGTGTGATTATGCCGGATATAGTCGAAGTTCCGTTGATCATTGCGGTCAAGGAGCCCGCGTAGTTTGGTGCCAAGTCCAATGCATTCACCTGCAACAAAGTAGTTTCAAATATTACAAATGATAGAGAATTATATGATTCCTTATCCATAGCAATATGGATATTATAGAAAGTGTCCTAAGAAGTATGGAGTCATAAGGAGATCCTACAATATTGAGTGTACGATTTTTTCAAGCGACCAGTGAACGAGTACATTTTTACAAGTACATAGAATACATAGAATTTTCTGAATGATTAAACAAGTTTTTTTTTAAATAAAAACTTGGTACTGATTATTGAGCACATAAGAATAGAAAAATATTTAAAGCATTAAAGCCAAATACTGATGCCAAATGTCATTGTCAACTGAACACTGATTTTTAGTTCTCGTTACGTACTTTGTGGCGCTGCTGTTAAAGTTTCCATACAAAATTTGACATTAACATTTCGCACTCGCAAACTATTCGAATTCGATAATGGTTCACGCTAGGGATACAAATACGTATATTGTTACGTTTGATAAGTCAGGGTGAAATCTTCATCAAACCATTTTTGTTTTTTCTCTCTCTGTTTAATCTAATATTAATATCTAATATTTTTGAATTTATCTAATTGTAAAATTTGTCTTGTCAATTTTGTATGTGTGCATGTTGGTGTGAATAAAGTCTTACATATCTATCTATCTATCTATTAATAATGAACACTCCATTAATGTTTTCATAAACATAGCTTCAGCAAAAACTGATTTTTTTTTCAAAATTTATAATTATAGAAAAAAAAATGTTTGTTATACAATGTGCAATCCTAAATATAAATAATTAAAATTCGTATTCATTCCGCATAATAAGAGAGATAGAATAAATATAGATACATCAATTTCAGCTTCATTGGGCTTTGATAAAGGAAATAATGAAGCACCCTCAGATCATTTAACATATTCGACCCTTGTTCGGTAATCGCTCAAAAGGTCCGCTGGGATAAATAAATTTTGGATAAAAATGGATCCTACATTTACTTTTTTAATCATTGGAAATCTTTTCAATCTTCAATAGTCAAGAACTTTCTTTAAGCAATGATAAAATTAATATCGTATATTACTTACATAGTATCTTGAGTATCGTTTTAATGTCACTACAGATTTACGCACTATGCTTAACTGAGCTTGTAAAAATCATTTTTTTAGTAGACGTGTAAATGAAACCATAAATGAAACAAAACCCATAAATAATTTCTACATATTTTTTTATACACTTTAAAACCATTCAACCGAAACCAGTTTCATTTTAGAGGCAATAATGTGGAATAGGTTTTTACCACGGAAATAATGCATTATTCGGCATATTCTGATCATTCATGAAGTCAATTTTAAAGTTTTCCCATTTCCCAAACATAATTTTTGAACTTTACCAAAAAATGGGAACACCATTTTTGGTAAAGTTCAAAAATTATGTAAATCCACAAATTATTTCTTTAGCGAAGTAGGTTTCATATGAGAGGCAATAATGTGAGGATAGTTTTTATATTTGGCACATTCGTATCATTCATGATTTCGATTATTTTTTTCCTATAATTTTTTTTTACTTTACCTAAGATTGCATTCTAAATCCACTAAATCTTTCTTTAGCGTAGCGCAAAGTATCTGCTAGTACATAATATATTTTAAAATTCTCAGCATACAAATGCAAGACTTACCTTCATACCGCTGTAAAAGCCTCCCATAAGAGCCATAGATGCGATAAAATACCCAACTGCGGCGTATCGGTCGCAACCGGAGTAGGAAGCCAATATGATACAGATGGCCGGACCCGTCGCAGCTGGAAAGGATATTGCAAATGTTCAGTCAGCATCGAAAAATTTTATTTATGCCGTTTCCAACGAAGAGCTATTGCCGCTGCTTCCTGGCATTTTAGAACAAAAATATTATTCGAAAATAAACTTAGTATGAACTACGATAATTTTACAGGTCTTTGTGGAAATGGTATCCTGACTTTATGGATTTAAATTCGAAAAACTCAATGATTATTAAATTCAGGAAGAACACTTAGTATTACGCCTAAATATATGTGTAAAAAGATATTATAAAATCTTAGATTATTTACTCTTAAGATAGAGCGTCACCTTGTAAACACTGATAAAAAGAGACTAGGATTTATATACTTGTGTGAGGGACACACAAAACAAAACACGCGAAATTGTATCTTACACTCGCGAAACATCAGCGAAATGTCATTATTTTTATCACGGTGCGAATGCGTAAGTAAAAACCAGGTTAGCCACATTCTCCAAAAAAAAGTGGGTTAACTTAATCAAATCAAAATTCGTATATTGTCCACAAATTAAAAATCATAGACGTTGAAACATCTGTACATCGTATAACTTTATACTTGCATATTTGAAATAAAAACTATTTGTTTACACATTTTTATTTAGTTTAATTATAATAACAGCCATGATAATGAAGAAAGCAACAACAAAATTGACCTTTTTTTCTTAATAAATTGATTGAAGCCTTGAATTTTTTGTTGTTTAATATTATTTATATTTAAAATTTGACATATTATACTACCCCTTTGACGTAAAATCTTACTTACTTTCTGACTTTGAAACCATCTTTCCAAGCTGTTCCTTCCTCAAACGACCAAAAGAGGCAGTTTCGGCTACTATTGTTAGCAATGATCTGGCGCCAGTCTTCCCAGCCATTGTTTTCTGACAATAACTTCGATAAACCTAACCATATCGTCTATGGCACATGCCTCGCTTGTTGTTGCTCTTATGCATGTTTATTACTTGTTTAAATAATAATTGTCTATTATTCTTTGCTAACATCGTAACGGTAATCGATCGTAAATCGATATGACGCAAAATTATGTACCACGTATAAATAATGTAAATATTTATTTAACAGGTCAATGAATACATGTTAACTTACAAAAAGGTTTTACTTACCAACTGTCGTATGAATGATTCTTCCCGTCTTTATGGAATGCCAATCTCTCTTAACGCAAAAGTCACACACCCATCCGAAGATGAAGGAGCACACCCACATAGCGAGGTAAGGCATTGCGGTTAAAGTACCCGTTGCTGCTATGTTGAACTTAAGCACATCCGTCATATACTTAGGGAGATCTGTAACCATCGTGTAGTAACCCCAGTCGTGGCCCACCTGTAAGCAAGAATTATAATTAAAGTATGATAATAAAATATACTAAAATGAAAGTAAAATTAGATTCGTATAATCGAAATCAGTATATCAAGAAAATTTTAATAGAGAAAATGCATAGAGAATGCGGGGTTGAATCCCGTCTGAAAGTGTACGGAGTGGATTTTTTTTTAGTAAAATTTTCTTTAGACCTAAACATCTAGCACTTATATGCTTAAAATAAAAATATAAGAATCCAATCAGCATCTCTCAGGTCTCGAAGCTTTTAAAAAAGAATAAAAAGACCGCGTATAGTAACAGTAACACGCAGTGAGCACTTTCAGTAATGAAGTAATTTTAAATTTTATCTACATAGTTAAAAGACCAGCTTAAAAAGGTCCCACGACAGCATAAGAGGGAGGAATCGCGCGACCACTTAGACTGGCCTTTTAAGTAGGTTTGTTGATAAAGTTTAAAATTGAAACTGCTTGCCGCACACTGAAAGTCCTCGCCGCGTAGCTGCCGGCCGCTGCCATTCCAGTGGTAATCGGATCTGTCCGAAGTATCATATAAAATTAAGTCGTTATGAAAATTACTCACTTCAGTAGTTATTCCCAAACAAGTCTTGCCTTGCGAAGCAAAGCAGGTATATACGTTTTTATAGGTAATTAAATATTAATAAGTCTAAGAGCTTTGTAAGCTTTATAGGTAGTTTATTTGAACTTACAGCAGCGAATAGCAGGGCCCATACTGGCACAGATCTCACAATAGCCTTCCAAGGCACCGGATCTCTTACACTCTTGGTATCGGCACTGGTCACATTCTCGTTCAGATATTTGAGTTCTTCTTCCGATATATATGGGTGTGTGTTGGGTGTGCTGTAGCAAAGGAGACTCTGGGACGGAAAAAAATATCGTTAAGTTACAAATATTGTTTTAAGACTAGGTTCATAGTTCTGGTAACAAGTGATAGTAATTACTCCCTGGCTAAAATCCTTAACATATTCTTAAACCGAGAATATCATTGATACGACAATAATATACGGTAACTTATAAAAAAGGCACTATATTATCTGTCTCTCACATACATAAAACACACGCACATACTGCTTTACTATATAATTATATTGACAATTAACTGCTAACGTAAATTAAATTTAGTCCTTTAAATAGTTAAATACTTAAAATAATTAATGTCTGATGCCTTCCCCCCTGGTATGAGGACCGCGATATAATATGTGACGCGTTTTTTGTCGCGTTTAGGTGTCAAATTCTTTGGAGTTTGACAGTTGGAAGCGATATGACACGTGATACAATATGAATTGTGGTGCTCATGCTAGGGGGGCGGGATCAGTTGGAACTTTTCTATTTTTCTTTCGGAAATAATTGTTTTAATGTCAATAATTGTTATCGTAAAGTTCAATGGTAAACAATGATTGTTATGATAAAGTTCAATGTTAAAATTCACGAAAGAGCGAGTATCCTCTAATACAAGTAAAATACTTAAAAGAGGATACACAACAACATGTTTATATGGAACTTGTAAGCATTAAATATTTATTTTAATTATCATTTTTTTTATAATAATTACGATTGAATGAGAAATGTGTTTATCAACAAAATAAAAAAAAACAGCTAATAAGTATTATAATTAAAGAACAATATAAAGGCTGGTATATATCAATTAATATTTTGCATTACATGACATACGCTGATTGCAAGGTACCATACAAGAGGTAAAATAGTTATGTTCGTTTATACATTGGCTGAACCAAAAGTCCATTGCTAGTACACAGGACAAACATCTCATTCTGTGTCAACAGATGACGCTGACTACACTGCGCTAATAGATATAATAATTATTAATATTACATTAATCATGTTTCGGAGATACTATATCATAACTGCAAGGCCCGAACAGTATCAGTCACATCGCTTTCCCCAGGCTAGAACCGCCCTACTCCACGAAAAATTGGGCGTAGACTTCTTCATATTAACGAGTAACAATCAATATACTTAAACAAATTTTAAGATAACGAATAAAACTACATACCCAAGCCAAGAACCACATGATGCCAAAGCAGCCGAAAAAGTAGAAGACATTGGCCCAGTCTCCATCGCCAGCCATTAGGAAGCCAGACATAAAGGAGCCAAAGATGTTTCCGATCTGAGCCCCGCCGAACACCAGCGCTCCCTGCCGCGATCGCTCGTGAGGCGGCACCCACCGCGCTAGGACTATCATCAAAGCTGGCATCGTGGGCCCCTTAAATAAAATAATTTATATTAGCAACCTAGTATCCATAAGCGGTTATGGGTCGTCATGCTCTCTTAAAAATCTCTTTGGCGGTGTCGTGTGAGGCGGATCGTTACGTTCCCTAAAAAATGATTGAGCGAAGCGATGGCTGGTTCATGTGTCTTGCTCATGAATGGGTGCTGCCAGCAGAGATGAGTCTACTCTTGCTACATTGGGTATTATTTATCGTTATATTTAATTTTAATCGTACATTTTTTTATGGCCAAACTGTAGAACTGTTCTTAAATTACGTGTTAAATCAGCTTTTTTTTTCAAATTTATTATGATTCATTAATAGATGATTAATTTTTATATTATTTATATTTGTAATGGAAGGTGCCTTCATGATTTATGTCATATTGGAGTCATTTTTCATTTTTCAGGTCTCTCGCCCTAGATTTGCGATCTGATGGCGTAGCTTTTCGACATTTACAAGTGCTTATAACACCGTAAACTGAATGAACCATATTGAATTTGAATAAAACAAACGTTGTGTCAAAAAGGTTCTATAAGAGTTAGAGAACTTCAAATGGAAACGGTATATACCCATCAAATAAATAAATATCTCCTTTGCTCAGATAATGCAAAATTACAAAATAGACTGTTTATCCCTCCTATCGTTTTATAAATCACGCGTTGCTAGCAGATAACATCTCTTTACCCCCTAATCCATAGTACTGTATCATGTTCTTAAAATATTTTTTTCTTAGGTTTTCACGCACATCACTCATTAAATAAAACAAGTTTCAACAGTATAGATGCACTCATAGATAAATGATTGGTCTCGCTTCAGTGAAGCGAGACCAATCAATCATTCATCTGATATATTTCACTGATATATTTGTTTTTTGCATCCTTTCAGGCTGCGGAACGTCAAAAAACAAATAAAGCTAAAGAGCTTTGCAAGTTTTTAAATAGGTCAGGACATGATCGCCTGGTTATTTTAACTTACTCATATGCATATCTACAAAGGAAGTCTTTGCACTGTGAAGGTCCAGCAAGAATTGAGCTGCCCTGTTTTGCGCCCTGTTTTATTTCAACATCACACACAGAATCATCAGTTTGGAAATGACGTCAATAAAGAAAAAATCCTAATAATTCACTTCTCATTAAAATTTTAAGTTTCCGTTGATACTATAACTTTCGTTGCTTTGAGTGCTGTGTTATTATTATAGTAGTAGGTAGCTATATATAAATTTAATCTTACCTCTCCCATGCCTTGCAAGACCCTCAAAATAAAAAGCCACGTAGCCCCACCAGCTTTGACAACCACTGGAGTCAGCAGCGTGAACAAGGCTGTACTCAAAAGTCCAATACCCAAGGTCCATTTTCCACCGTAGCGTTCAGCCAAGTATCCTCCTGGCACATGGGTTATGGCATACCCGTAGTAAAATGCGCTTAGGATCAACCCTTGCGTCGACTCCGACCAATCAAAAATAGCGTGCTGGAACAATAAATAAAGTTTTAAACTTTCATGGTCACTACCATTATAGATATTAACGGGATTGTTACCATGTACCTTGTTTTTTATGAGTCTCCGATATTTCGGCACTGTTGCAAGCGCCATGATCACGAAATAACAGAAGTAATTGCGGGAAGATGTTTTACTCGCAGACATATCGGTCTACCCTCTGACGTCGTCTTTTACTGCACTCGATACCTTACCGTTTGCAACTTTGCTTGCTTGCAATAGTGCCGAAATATCGGAGACTCATAAAAAACAAGGTACATGGTAACAATCCCGTTAACAGTTATAATAAATAATGTCTTAAATGCTTATTACTTTTTTATGTTAAAAAGGCTGGCAAACATGCATAATATGGCCCGCCTAATGGTAAGCGGCCACCTTAGTCTATAGACGCTTGCGATACTCTATATTATCACTTGTTCCGTTGCTTACCCTAACCCAATCAGCTACACCGTGAAGAAAGTTCATTACAGACAGGAACGCAAGATCACCAAAAGGTAGTGCTATTTTACTGTGGTCTGTAAGGTTGTGGTTACTTCCCCCAGACGGGCGCTCTAATTCGAGAGGGAAATCAGCCATACTCTACCTCTCTTAAAAAAAAAGAAATAAATAGTTCGGCCATTAGGAGATCCTATTGTAAAAAGCAGATAACTCCATAAGGTAAAAATGATGTTAATTACTTAATAACGTTATTGTTATTAAATTTAAGTATGAGATCGACTCAAAGCGTGAGTTTTGCACACTTATGTGTTAGATTATGTGGCCAAAGGTGTAAATTGATTAAATCATGTAAAAGCCACACTGGCAATACATTCCAGGAAATCTAATTAATAGTTGTTTCGTAATTATGATATATATGTTGAATTGTTGATATTGCACGTGATCATATGATAGTACGAGAGAATTTTGATCTGCACAAAGATTTCAAAAGTTTTGATGTTCCCTGGCTATCTTATAAACTTTTCCACTAGGGAATTGTGTAGTCTCTCTTATCTTTAAATCAATAAGGTTTGAGGTAAAAGCCGACCATATAATCCTTCAATAAAACACAATCATGTCGGTAGTTTTGGGAACACTTTGCGTGAAGCCATGTCTTAAATTAAAGTCATACCCTCTATAAATTAAGCTCTAATTGCTGCGTAATATGAGCGCTGAACATAGAACTCAATATTTGGTGAGCTTTTAACTTAAATGGGTAAAATTAAAAAGGGTTTTTTGCAATATCACATACCTGCGTAATATTCTCCATTTATCGAAAATATTACCCAATTATTTAAAAAAAAAACATTAAATCCACAATGTAGATTGAAATGGTCAGAGACGTGCCGGTATTTTTATCATAAAAAAAAGCAATCACAAGGATATAGTAGTAAAAGATAAAGATTTTATCTCATTATCATTTCTGCCGGTTACTCAATAAATGATATCCATGTCAATCGTGCATATTGACATATATAGTTAAAAATGTACATACATGTAAAATAATACTTTTCTAAATAAAAATGACATAAAAATCGCTTTTTGCTATTTTAATCTAAGCTTTTTACGTGTTTTTTTTTTTCAACTTTGAGTCTTGTATGTTTGACTGTAAATCTATAATATTTAAAATTACAACCAAACAAGGTTTTGTTATATTTAAAAATGTCTATGATGTCACTAAGATAAGATATTGCAGTTCCTACACACAAAGAGATTCATAAATTAGAATTTTTCATAGCACTTAAAGCAAATGAGCCTCCTTTTAGTCCCGCGTCGTTTTCCCGTTTGCCCTTCTGTAGCCTCATGAAACTTCATATCCCTTTAAATTATTCATATTCTATTCTTGAATTTATAAGTCGACAGAGATGTCGGCTACGTTTGATGTTCGCCTTTTGTTATAATAATGATTTAATATATCTAATATTTTAACAAAATTTTAAATAATCTTGAGGATCCAAAGAAATCACTTGATCAGGACACTGTGACGCGACGCAGTAATGGATTCAAATAATCAGAAAGTCGAACTTAGAAATATGCAATTTATATACTGATTTAATAAGTCACGTGTTGTCTCATTCTATTATAATCACAAAAAATAACAGCATCAACTTAAAATTGTCTTATCTAGACAATTTTAAGTTGACTAAGTAGATTTTAAGCAAAGAAGTTTAGCAATATTACAGAAAAGTATAATGGTTTTCGCAGACGACGGAATTATGTACGCGGACTTTTTTGTCCGCCAGACCTACCCCTAGACCGCTTACAACTTTAACAAGTAACTCACATGGTGGATTAAAAGTACCGCGTACAAAAATATTCTGAACACTGAGAAACCAGATTGGATAAAAGAACGCGGGTGTCCCCGAAAAAAAAATAACTCATGTGACTAGGCGCAGCAACGCACAGAGCGAACATTAACCCACGTTGCGCGCTCGAAAACTTTTTCTTCCATAGCGTGCGTTTCTGTTAATTTCCAGGCAACAAATGGCAACTCCATGCGCGTTGAGTCCGTGACATTTTATTCACTATTCATGGATTTTTGTCCTCCACGTACAAAAGTCCTTTGTCTGCGCAAGCCATAAAAGTGGTGGAATACATCCAACACGTTATACATAATCTTTCTGCTATGTAGAGTATCAGGAATCTTACTTATAGCAGGGATACAATGCTACGGAATAGTAAAAAGAATTCAATGTTAAGGACCTAAAATTTGAGAGGGACCTTTAATTTAAGTAGCGAATTGGAGCCTCCGTCTGGGGGAGTAACCTCCACCTTACAGAAATACTCATAAATTACAGTAAAATAACACCACCTTTTGGTGTAGTTGTGTCTCTGTCGGTGAGTTAGGCTCCAGGGCTCCACGGGGTAGGGAATTGGGACAGAGAAGGGAACGGTGCGAGTGATATTTTTGGAATCGCAAGCGTTTAGAGGATATGGTGTTCGCTTACCGTCAGGCGGGTCATATGCTTATCTGCTACCCTTATAATATGAAAAATTACTTACTAAATATGAGCACCTCCTTACTGTATTAATTATAGCTGTTGGTCTATATTCACTTATGTGGCTAGTCTGCTGAAATGTGTATACTTCTTTCTCAGATATTATATGTCTGAGAAAGACGCAGGCACTATATGTCATGCGGAAGTCCTGTACCTCAGCAGTAGGGATGTAAATAAAGGTGATCGTATATATTTTATCATACGCCGTACGCGCCACACGCGCTGAATCCCCCGCATATGCGGTGTACCGTGCTGATGGAAGCATGCGAGGTTTCATATGATTGCATATAACGAATTCTATATGCGGCGCATACGGTGCTGAAACATGTGCGATCACCATAATAATCTGATGTTGATAAACAATTTACCGGTTTGAGACTGACAGTGCCGTTGACCAGGATCTCGGAATCGTCGGGACAAGCGTTCGGGTCGTAGTGTGACTCAGAAGTCTTCGTGTTGTTAACCATCTGGGTAACCGCCAGGTTGAGACACACGCGCATAGTGTACGCGTTGCATACCGCCAACAGTCCCATGATGCCGAGGACATACCGCTGGGGAATTAGGAACACTGAGCGGAGAAAATTATTAAATAAATCATACGGTATTATAGAAGTTTAATATGTATGGAGAGTGAAACATTTCGGGTTAAAAAGTTGTAACAGTCTTTAGCATATATAAATCAGTGTGGAGCCCGTTTATTAAAGTTTGTGTTTTAGAAATCGCAAATTTACGCGGAGCCCGCTTTATTGCTTATAGATATATTTTCAAGGTAAATGTAGTCCAACAGTGAAACAATTTAGATTCTCATGCTTCATATTATAGGACTATGATAACGCAAAGCTAGGAAAAATTAAATTTTAGCGCGACTTTACTTTGTTAATACGAAGTTACACAATAAACAAAAGACGTGTTTGAAGCCTACTTGACAATTTTAATAAATGGCTCGAGTAGTGATAAACCGTGTCCATATGGCGCATATTTTATTGAAATATTCCATTAATTTTAATTTCACAACGAACACGTAACGTTACACCGTAGTCATTAAAATAAGTAATTATTTTAACCAAAAACAATCTGCAGAACGGGAGGTCTCACTTGATACTTGAGTTGAGATGGTTGATTGGAATCAGAATTGAATTTAGCTTGTAATTATGTTACTTCATATATTATGTAAGGCTCGCTTCTAGTGGCATATAAAGACAATGAATCGGATACTAAGACTCTATATAAACTACTTGCTAAGTTCTTGTTTCAAAATATCAATGTGGAGGGTTACATTCCTTCTACAACACATTTTACGGTAACGTAAAGAAAAAATCGTAAGGTCACCCGGGCCAATTGTAGCCACGGGGCAAATATAGCTGTATCAAATCACTCGTTACTGTTTCGTTTTTAAAATTAGAAATATCTGTGGTTTTGTAAAGTCCAGAAGATTCTGATTTTGCTGTACAGAACTACAGATGTCTACTATTTTTAAAAGAAAACAGTAACAAGTTATTTTGAATCAGTTACATTTTCCCCGGGTGACCTTAATATTTGTTTACGAAATTAACCAATGTTTGTTTATTAATTACCTTTTTATTAAACATACGCGCACTTTACCTTTCTCATCTACACTTTATGTTAAAAAAACGAAGGTTTACGCCACAGTGAGAGCGAAAAAAGGTTTATTTCGATACCCTTATTCATACTTAAATATCACCACGAACGTTATAGCAAACCAAAATACACGACTATAATAAATGCTGGCAGATTCTGGCACTTAAGATGGTTATTCCTATTTACAATTTTATAAATTTGTCAGCAATTTCTTCCTTTCATTCCATAAAAACATGATAAGGAAAACAACAGACGACTGAACGGATTTGGATAAAATTTGGCACACATATAGTTTATTACCGGGATTCAGACAAAGGATACTTTTTATCCTGAAAAAAATATTACGTTACTGTTAGGTTCCGCCAAAACTAAAATAAATACGGACGAAGTAGCGGGCGGCTGCTAGTAAGTAATAAGCATGAGTAATTATGTGAAGAGCTACCATTAAGTATACGCAATGGTACATTTTTTTTGTTAATAGTATGAACCCTTTTCGCCTAGCTTAGTTAGCATCCATTAATGCATAATATGTTAGCTTTGATTTCGTTTGGCTTCCGATGTGACTAATTGTGACTATACTAAAACCTCTTCGTAAAAAAAACAAGGGGCTGTATAAATAACACTCTTAGATCTACTCCCCAACTAACCCCTTATAGAGATTTCATCGTGGAATCTTTCATTCAGTTCAATCGTTTCAATCAGTAGAAGTCTGATCTAATAATCTATTGATTTTTATTATATTGGACAAATATCTTGAACACATTAAAAGACAAAACATAAGAGCAAGATGCTGGCGTTTACAGGGTGTTTCATCTGCCTGCCTCACGGCAGTATTATATTTTTCCTAATTTTGCCTAAAGATTTTAAAGCAAAAAAAAAACAATATGTAATTAAAAAAAACTAGATCAACTTACATCTTGATATAACTCTTCGCCATTTTGGTGATAACATTTCAAGAAGAGTGTTCAGTCGTCAAGTCTGCAAGCCTGTGAACAATAAGACTACGATAAAATGTTAATACAACAATCCAGATAAGCGGAGATTAAATATTATAATGTTTATCATTTTGAGAGTGAAATCAACACAGATGCGTATTATATCGCAATATTTTATACTCGAAGATTTGTGGTGAAGCGATATAATATTTCTTGTTTTTGCAAAATTACTTGATTATGACAATTGTATACTCAAGCATTAAAAAACGATCGGATTATTTTTTGTAATATCCTACAAAATTTTGGCCACAACATTAAAATATTTTTTGAGCTCACTTTTGAAAATAACAGGCCACTACATTGTAATGGTGGTCAGTCCCCAAAAGCAAACGATTAAAAAGTACTGATGATGATGATGACTCGTCCCTTTATCATTAGGGATTAATTAATGTTAGGTACTAAGACATACAACTTGTTCAAGGTAACTTGCTAATCTCAATAATGGATCCTACAACGCGGTGTTTGCTACCGCATATCTGAATTTTCTATGCCTGTATTATACCGAGCCAGAGTCAAACTTTTCATTTTTTATCGAAGCAATATCACTTCACTTGATGACACTAATAAAACCTTAAAATTTTAACAAACTGTTTGTATTTCTGACCAGATAGCATCAAGTAGAAGTTTTCCCAAAGTTGATTTTTTTTCTTGAAATCCGTTTTTCTTAACTTTGCATATAGTAAGGGTGTCGTAAAAGGCGATGAAGAGAGCACAGCCAGCGAAAGACGGGCAGCAGCGTCTTGTTGCGATCGCTAACATCGCTGCCAAGCGTGGCTATTATAAATAAATAAATAACAAATAACTATTTCCAACAGTCACACCTATTAACCTAGCCCCAAAGTAAGCACTGTAAGGCTTGTGTTATGGGATATTAAGGTAACGGATAGAATACATATACTGTACATATACACTTCTGGACACATCTATTGGCCCACCTTGTATTTTCAGTTTCGTTTGGTCCTAGCTAAAATTTTATATTAGGTCGAGCAAAAAGTTTTAATGCAGTTTTGAACCTGGCACATTCACAATTTCATTCAATAGTCTTTTTTTGAATTTCGAACACAGAATTTAAAGAAACAAAAGACAATTTGGAGCCTGTTTGTTGATATCAAACAATCGAATACTAAGAAAACTTGGTTTTATTGGTTTACTTGGATTTAATTCTTGCGCTCGAACTGTTCGGAGAAGGTTAAAAGAACGCGATATGGTACCACATAAGCCAGCTAATGGGCCCAAACTAACGCGAGCCCACCGAACAGCGCGCCTTCATTTCGCACGCAGTCATTTAAATTGGACACAGCAAGATGGGAGCCGTGTACTCTTTTCTGATGAGTCTAAAATTGTGTTACATGGCAATGATGGAAGGAAGAAGGTCTACCGACGTAAGGGAGAGCGTTTCGCACAATGCTGCTTTGAAGAGAGGGTTGCTTATGGCGGTGGCTCATGGACTGTCTAGGGCGGTATATCCGCGAGCGGCAAAACTGGCCCTGAATGAGTCCAGACGGTAAAGTCCGAAACGAGATCGACTTCATCATGTCGACGAAAAAGCTAATATTAAACGATGTATCTGTGATCAACGCCGTCAAAACTGGAAGTGATCACCGGTTAGTACGAGGCACATTGAATATGAACATTAAGCTCGAAAGATCTCGAATGATGAAGTCTACGCTCAGACCAATACCTGCACAACTCCAGATTCCCGAGAGCTTTCAACTCGAACTTGAAAAAAACCGCTTCGAATTCCTTGAGGACAGCCAAGATGTGGACGATCTGAACGATACGGTGGTGGATATTGTCCGTATGGTAGGGTCCAAGTATTTTAAAGCCCACCGTACCAAAATTTTCTGTATTTCTTTATTTCTACTAAAGTTCCAGTTTGGCACAGTAGGGCATTGACTAAACTTTTGAAAGAAAAGCGTTAATTCCACAGACTATATAAATTATATGGTAACGCCTTAGATAACCAGAGTTTTAAAATCTTGCGCAAATGCGTAGAAAAAATGATGAAAGAGTGCTACAATAATTATATTACTTATTATTATTATTTATTTATTCTAAAGTTATATATAAAAAGAAATAATACCCATCCTAAATATATTTGGACTTATGTTGAGTCTGTTTCTTCTAATAAAGGGCTCCCACAATCAATGAATTATAAAGGGTCAACGGTCTCTGATGGGCAAATTATTTGTAACTTGTTTAACGATTACTTTTACTCTGTTTCTGAGAAGTCTAATGAATTATATTTTGAATCTTACAATATTGAGCCACCGCCTCTTAACCCTATCATTGATATGCATTCTATAGAAATAGACACCGACATTTTTTTCAAATATCTGAAATCAATTGATATAAACAAGGGAGCAGGTCCTGATGGTATCCTTACGTTATTTATAAAAAAATGATCTTCAACTCTAACGTTACCAATCACTATTTTATTTACAAAATCCTTGAGGGAAAGTTGTATGCCGGAGATCTGGAAACAGACTTGGATTACTTCAGTTCCTAAAGGTAAAGTCAGTTCAGACATTGAAAACATAGGCCTATTTATAATTATGCCATTTCGGAAAAATCCTTGAAAAACTTGTTACCGACTAACTATCTAGGCTGGTTCGCCGTCATGTGTCTTGTAGTACATAGTTTTTATAAGGGTCTTTCTGTGGAAAATAATTTACTTAATTTCACCCAAGTTGTACTGGAAGCTATGATTGACGGGTTCCAGGTGGATGCTGTGTATGCCGCTTTTGCCAGTGTTCGACAAAATTTGACATAGTACCTTGTTAAAAAATCTCTAGCAACTTGGTATACATGGTGATCTATTCCGATGGGTAAAGTCTTACATAGAGAAAAGAAAACAGGCTGTTGTAATTTCTGGATTTTGCTCGGAATTCAAATATATTCATTCTGGCGTCCCTCAAGGTTCTCATTTGGGACCTTTATTGTTTATACTCTATACACAGTCAGGTCATAAGTATTGTCACACAGTAAAAACTTTTCTTTTAGAATGCTGGCCACAAAACGGTTTATTGAATTCGAATTTTGAATTGTTCATGAAAATAAATATTTATACTTTTTAGTATTTTACTCGTTTTTAAATATCGAGTGGACGCTTAAAGAAGACCGTGTTGCAGTTATTGCGTTGCATCGTTGCGGTTAATTTTTGAATATAACCAAAAGATTCGTTTATCGTACCATGAAACGATACAATGAAGACTTTAGTGTAGATGACAGGTCTCAAGAAGTGGTCGCCCTCGGTCTGTTAGGACTCCAGCAGTGATAAAAGCTGTGAAAGCGCGAATTCAAAAAAAAAACCCAAACGTAAGCAGAAACTGTTAGCCCTTCAGATGGGGTTAAGCAGAATCACGGTGAAAAGGGTGTTAAATGAAGACTTAGGGCTTCAGCAATATCGAAAAAAAATTTGAATGCTCGTCTAATGGACCTGAGACTGAAGAGATGCCGCACTTTGTTGAAGCGGTAAACGGGAAAAAAATATCGGGAAATTCTTTTTTCGCATGAAAAAATTTTTACCTTAGAAGAGAGCTACAACAAACAAAATGATAAGGTGTACGCACACAGTAGTGAAGAAGCGAGCAACCGTATTCCGCGTATCCAACGAGGTCATTTTCCATCCTCGCTCATGGTATGGTTGGAAGTTTCTTATTGGGGCTTCACAGAGGTACATTTTTGTGAGAAAGGTATAAAAACAAATGCAGTTGTGTATCAAAATACAGTCCTGACGAACCTTGTGGAACCTGTTTCTCATACCATGTTCAATAACAGGCACTGGGTATTCCAACAAGATTCGGCGCCAGCTCATAGAGCGAAGAGCACACAAGACTGGCTTTCGGCGCGTGAAATCGACTTCATCCGGCACGAAGACTGGCCCTCCTCCCGTCCAGATTTGAGTCCGTTATTACAAAATATGGCAACACTTTGAGGAAAAGGCGTGCTCAAAGCCTCATCCCAATTTGGAGTCACTCAAGACATCCTTGATTAAGGCAGCCGCCGATATTGACATGGATCTCGTTCGTGCTGCGATAGACGACTGGCCTGTATTGTATTCAAAATCACGGAGGTCATTTTGAATAAACTTTATTGTCATAAGAATCTATGTTTTGTTAAGTTCATTTTGGTATATAAATGGTTACATAATGAATGCAAAATCAAGAACGCCTTTAAATTATACTCTGTTTGATTGTGTATGTATATAGCATTGAATTTAATACCCACACATGTAACGCCAATAGGCTTTTTCTCACATTTACTTGAAGTTCCGTAGTTTAAATTGATTAGCGCTAATTTGTTCATTTTAAAAGTTTTTTCAATAATTTCGTCGCTGTGCGGTGGGGGCTCGGTGGGTCGGGGTCGGTTGATGGTGCAGGTTGGCTCGGCTTTTCGTCTGTGGAAGTCCGGTGGTGTGTATGTTCGTTTATCAATTGTGCGTAGAAATTATATTTACATTAATGCATTACTGGAGAAACATTGACGGGTTTTCGTGGCCGGGTCGATTTATATTGTTAGCTCATTTCAATTTGCTGGGTTTTCGCTGTACAGCGACGATTTCTAATTAAGGAAACTATAGGTCTGTAGTGATATAAAATTGTATTTTCACGTTTATTTAAGTATGACCGTTTGTTTCTAATAAATAAATAAATAAAAGCACAACTTCTGAGAGTGGGCGGTAAGCCGATACTCCTCCATAGGCTTTCTAATTCCATCATCCTCGAAGACAGAACGCCGAAAGCACAGAAGTAAGGTTGTCCTGTTCTTCAAAAAGGTGACTAATCTCACTTCTGAGCCATGTTTAGAAGTGGTTCTCGAGAGTCATTACGAATCATCTCGCATGCAGTTTTGACGACTTCCAACCTCCCAAATAAGCCGGTTTGCGAAAAGGCTAAGTACCATAGACCACATTCATACGCTTCGGCAGGTTATACAAAAAACAGAAGACTTTGT